GCTCGGCAATCTGGCAGGAGGATTCTTTGAGCCGAAGAGCTCAAGGCTGCAGTTAGCCATGATTGTGTCACTGTACCCTAGCTTGGGCAACAGAATGAAACTCCATCAAACTCCATCTGTTTTTCCTTTTTTTCCTTTTTTTTGAGACAGGATCTCACTGTCACCCAGGCTTAAGTACAGTGTTTTGGTCACGGCCCACTGTAGCCTTGACCTCCCAGGCTCAAGGAATTCTCCCACCTCAGCCTCCCTAGTAGCTGGGATCATAAGTGTGCACCATCACACTCAACTAATTTTTTTGATTTTTAGTGGAGATGAGGTTTCACTATGTAGCCCAGGCTGGCGTTCAACTCTTGGGCTCCAGTAATTCTCCCACCTCAGCCTCCAAAAGTTGTGGGATCACAGGTGTGAGCCACCATGCCTAGCCTTCCTTTTTTAAAAAAAGACAAATACCAACGGGCGTGCATACCAGTTCTTTGGGCCCTGGACCAACTTTGAAAATAAGCAAAACTCTGTATACTCTCAGAGAAGTATGCATATATACAGAGTCTGGTTTATAGTTTTCGGTACTTCATTGTCCCTTAGGGCAGTCTTTTTGCCTCATGTTAACCTTGGATTGGAGGGTAACAACAATCATATAAGGCTGTGGTTCTCAAGTGTGGCGTTAGAAATGCTCGTTATCAGGTTCTACCTCAGAAAGAAGTTGAGACCCAGCCATCTGTTTTAACAAGATTTCCAGATGGTTTTTGCCATACTTTGGGAGACTCCCCTGATTAATGAAACTTATACTCCTGTGTGGTCTTTATGTTTCACACCTTCCATATTGTGCCTTTGAGAGACTACCTGCCATCCTCTTGTTGTAGCAGTACTGTATTCCTCCTAGGCTATGTCCTGCCCAGCCACGTGACTGAGGAGATGCTGTGGGAGTGCAAGCAGCTTGGGGCTCACTCCCCCTCTACCTTGCTGACCACCCTCATGTTCTTTAATACCAAGTAAGTGTTCTAGAGGCTCCACTGCTGGCATCTGTCCAGTGAAGAGTGTGGAAACTATCCAAGAGGACTTCTGAATTCCTCTGACATACACTTGAGAAACTTTGAGCTACTGAAAGCCCTAGCCCCACTTGGCTGCATTTTGTTTGGCAACCAGTGAGGCAAACAGCCTTGCTAGACCCCTACCACCCATCTTGATGTGGCTCCTGCACTGGACACTGTGCTTGGGTATGGACCTGCCCAGATCCTGGGAGTGTGGGCAGTGGCTGCTCTGAGGCACCAGTGGGCAGAGGGTAAGTCACGGTATCCTCCCGGCACCCTCTCCCTCTGCCTTGCTTTTACTTGTGATCCAGGTACTTCCTGTTGAAGACAGTGGACCAGCACATGAAGCTGGCCTTCTCCAAGGTTTTGCGACAGACAAAGAAAAACCCCTCTAATCCTAAGGATAAAAGCACGAGTATCCGGTATTTGAAGGCCCTTGGAATACACCAGACCGGCCAGAAAGGTAAGGAAAGGAGGCAGGGATGACAAAAACAGGTGCTACTTGACATTCTCTGTCCTGCCTTTGTACCTGTGGGGCCAGTGATAAGTGTGAAGGTTGGGAGTTGCTGGATAAAATTCTCCACTCTCTTCTCCCCAGCCAAAAACTCCAAACTTTCCTCCTAGAAGCAGAGAAAGCCCCAGAGAATAGCTGCCTTTTCCCTTAGTAGTCACTGCCCATGCCTCATACCTTCCTCCCTGCACCCTGTATTTCCTAGTTGGACTGGCTGAAAGCCTAAGGTTCCTGATCTGGGCTTGAGGTAAGGCAGTCTAATGCCATGTCCGTGGTGGTGGGGATGTGTGTTTTATAGTTACAGATGACATGTATGCAGAACAGACGGAAAATCCAGAGAATCCATTGAGATGTCCCATCAAGCTCTACGATTTCTACCTCTTCAAATGGTGAGGAGACTTTGTGACTGGCTATCCATATGCACGTGTGTGTGTGTATGTATGCATGTGCATGCTCACTTGTGTGATATCACAAGGGAAAGGCATTCTCTAGTCTCAAACCAAGTAAAAACACTTCCAAAAAGCTAAATTTAGAAGCAGCCTTGCTCTGGCTTTCCAAAGGTGTGTGATTTGCCTAGCACTGATAGAAAAAGGGGTCCTGGGTCCCTACAGTCACTTTTCATGAAAAGGGTGTGGAGGTACAGAGACTCTACCTTCATCACACATTGAGCATGGCCCTGCTTCCTGACCTTGACTTTTTGTCACGGCCACCATTAATCTAGGTGGGACTCCTCTCAGCTTTTTCTCCCTTTTGCCCATTCAGTAGTTTCTCATTACTCTATATAATAATCCTTTTATGGCAGTCAAGGCTTTTCACGCACTTCCCCTTGCTAACCTCATGTCTGTGGAGCTCTTAGTTCCCTAGCCACACTAGCTCCTCTCCACTCAAGGGCATTATATTATTCCTCTTCTCAACTTAAACACAGCTTATCAGAGAATTTTTCCAGATTCTCCACCTCTTCCCTGTGGCTATTTCCTGTTTATTATTTTGTATTTGTGTAACTTTGCTACCTGTGTCCCCTCCTATCTGTA